GTGATTGTGGCAGTGATAGTAGTAGCATAAATAGCAAGACCTGCAAGAAATGTAAAAATAGTAATGAGAAAAGTATGTACCAAAGAAGCGGAGAAGGAGTCAGGGGAACAGCAGCATCAGCAAAATGTCTCATTTGTATGTCAAAACCTCCACAAACTTTGCTCTCAATAAGCATAGAAAAGCGAACACAATCTAACAAATAGTTATCCTCGAGTTGGAAAACATCACGTTCAAAAAGCCCTCCAGTGTCCCTTAAGACAGTCTAATAAAACCAATAGAGAATCATATTTACTCAAGACATTGGAACGTGTTCCACGCTCCGTCCAGGAACTTGTCTGATTTGCCTTGGTATCAACCCAAAGCGCTGTGTCGTATACAGTCTTTCTCTTGACTTCATAGTCTGTCTGCTATCCAAATATGCATTTCAGAATCAAGAGCAGCACACCAGCCTCCTCAAGATGCGTCGATTGGATAAATATTTTCTTCTAGTCTCAGTGCCATCTCAAGCTGGCGTCATTAGCGATCCAATGAAATGTTAGTATTGTAAGTTCGAGTTTAGACCCCGTATCGACGATAAAGTCGATTGGGTAGCGTAAAGCAGTGGTTCTCAATTTGTTGTAAAAAAGGTGAAGATCCCTTTTCCACGTCTTTAGGCGTATAGGGCATATAGGGCTAGACCTACATTTTATAGACAAATAGACACAAAATGGGTGATGTAATCAGCATCAGGCTGTCCACCCAAACTTCCAGGGACTGCACCTGGTACCCACTTAAAGCTGGGTCGAACTGGGAGTCAATGACATTTTTCGAAAAAAAAAAAAAAAAAAAAACAAGTCAGGCTCCGTCACGGAGCGAACCCACGACTTTCCGAACCGCATGCGAGCGTCTAGCCGCTACGCCATTGTGACTCTCCAACTTGTTGCGGTTCGGGCGCAAACTAAAGTTTGCAGTGCGCCAGCTATATTTTTGGGGGAGAATTTTAGGGTAAGACCCAGTTCTCTTTCATAGGTTGATAATCGTACCAGTGAGGGAATGGCGGGAGAATTATAAGGTAAGACCCAGTTCTCTTTCATGGGTTGATAATCGTACCAGTGAGAGAATGGCGGGAGAATTATAAGGTAAGACCCAGTTCTCTTTCATGGGGTGATAATTGGCGGGAGAATTATAAGGTAAGACCCAGTTCTCTTTCATGGGGTGATAATCGTACCAGTGAGAGAATGGCGGGAGAAAAGCTGCTGTTATTATTAACCGGCTGCTGCAAAATCGAAGCTTGTCAGTTAGAGATTGTGAAACAGTAGCAACGATTCTGTCGAACTGTTAAAACCTGTGTATTTACCACTTTTGCTAAAGGGTCCTTGACGATTCAGGGCCGCATGAATAGTGCAATTATGTTCCAGTTATAGGAAAGAGTAGAATACAATTAAAGAATATTAAGAAAGCACCAGAGAACATCAAGTTATATTTAGGAATACCCAGGAATTCTCAGGACATTGTCAGAAAGAGCTATAGAAGTAAAGACTAATTTGTACTTATGCTTCATAGACTATACAAAAGTATTTTACTGCGTGAAACTTGAAGAAGTAATCAAACTATTATAAAAATGAAACATTAATGGAAAATATCTACGAATAATAAAAAATTTATATTGGTAGCAAACAGCAGCTATAAGAATTAACAACAGTTTAGGTACATTTCAGTGGATTAAGAGGGACATGACTAGGTTGTGTACTGTCAATTTGATTAATTTTCATTATACAGTGGATATATAATGCGATCTTTAATTGATATGCCCGGAATTGGGGTTGGTGGGCATAAACAATCCACGTTATGCTGATGACACAGTCTTGATAGCAACAAGTCAGAAAGAACTACAGGAAACGATAGACATCGTGGTGGTAGAAAGTGGAAGAACGGGCCTCAGTCTGAATAATGGGAAAACAGAAGTAATGGTGGTATCAAAGAAACGAATTAGTATATATGTATTTATTGAGAAGTATTTGTGTAAACATTTCATATTATTGCAACTAAATTATATTTATTTGCCATAGAACACATTATAATTCGTATTATTATTTGCTGTTGTCATTTTATGAATATTATTATTCATGAGCTTTGCCCCATACTTTATTTTTTTATTTTTTTTATTTAAAAAATAAAACACTGTGATGGCCCTCTTGAGGCCTGCGCGTTCCACCTGCAATCGTCATGCATATATTATTGAAAAACCCAACAGTTTGTAATCTAACGTACATCGACATTTGTTTTGAATGTATGAAGGTAAGGACTTCTTGGAACTGAAAGGGTTAAAAGGTCCCCTACACATTTATTTTCTATTGTCTATGACACTTAATCATCAGCATCATGTGCTCACTCGATGCGTACAGGCAATGGTGGACTGCAATGCAAAATTTGTTAAAAGAATAATGGCAAGGGATCTTGTCCTAGCAGTCCATGGTTACCAAGTCATGTAGGTATTTAGATCTAACTGCTAAATCTGACATTTGCATTTACGAGCGAAAGAGAGACACAAAGAGCAGACAGACACACTCAGAGAGAGAGAGAGAGAGAGAGAGAGAGAGAGAGAGAGAGAGAGAGAAAGAGAGACACAAAGAGCAGACAGACACACTCAGAGAGAGAGAGAGAGAAGAGAGAACAGCGAGATAGGAGCCAAAGAAGAGAAACGAGAGAGAGAGAGAGAGAGAGAGAGAAGAAAGAGAGAAAGAGAGAGAGAGAGAGAGAGAGAAAGCACAAGGAAAGAAGAGAGAGGAGACATGGAGGAAATAAACGAGAGACAGAAGACATAAATGAAAGAAAAGAGAGTGAGACGACATGAGGGAAATAGAACGAAAGAGAGAGAAGACACGAAAGAAAGAAGAAAGAGACAGAGAGAGAAGAGACCGAGGAGGGGCGAAATGTTCCGACTCTGAGAAACCCTGATGTAAAAGTATGTCCAGATTAACTTCATGTTCGACCAGGGACACCTTGGTATCCTGTGTGGGACTGGCCAATAAGATCGCTAGACGAACTGACAGAGATGATTCATTTGCTGAGAAGAAATAGTTATGTGTGTCTCCTTTTATTAATGCCAGATTCTGAAAATTGGTTTGCCGAATTTTATGTTTTCATTATAACGCTCCGGGTGATTCTTATGCTAGTTGGAGCGTTTAGCGATAAAACTGAGCAATCATAAACTACAGCTTTAATTAAAACGTAGATCACCATCAAGAAAATTGAGCTAGCATTTTCCTCTTTCAACAACAAATACATTCGTACCTCAGTAGTGCAGTTACTAGTGTGCTTATCTAGCACAGTCCACGTAAGTGGCAGAGAAAGTAGGAAAGAAAACAAAACTAGAAATAGAGACAGGGGCACGAAGGGGTGTGAGAGAGTGAGAGAGAGAGAGAGAGAGAGAGAGAGAGAGAGAGAGAGAGAGAGAGAGAGAGAGAGAGAGAGAGAGAGAGAGAGAGAGAGCATTTTTTTACATTATTCGTACATGCTTCAATGTAGAGTAACAGTGAGTGCTTACATTTCCAAACACACACACACGCATATATATATATATATATATATATATATATATATATATATATATATATATATTATATATATATACACACACACACACATACACACATACACATATATACACACAAACAAACACACACCAAAACGTAATTATACCCAGACAGGTGTATCCATCTCCTTAACATTAAATGACATTTTTTAGCTTGGGTTTCTCATTAATATTCCCAAACTTAACACTGATCAAAAGGTGGGCCTGAGCATGAAACAGTTACTCACAACACGCTTTTCTGAATAAGAGACATTTCATACCAAAGATGACAAGTTACTAAAACTGAGAGAGGGAGTCTCCCAGACTAGCCCCAAAGTGCCACATCTTTCTGAAGTTTATGTAACTGACATTACTAAATGTTGTCACCAACAAGTCTTCAATAGCCTACATGTACGATAGCTATATAGAACCAATGCTCGTCCATGACTTTACTGTTTAGACAGTCAATAAAAACACCACAACAGCTTCCTATCAGCTTAAAATGTCAGTTGAGAAAGTAAAGAGCTGGACACTTGTGCTTTGTGTGCCTAGTGCAATTTCCTACCCAAGGTGTCACTTGTAGTCTGTGCCCAACTTCGTGCTAGTATGACTCTGCCCCTCTTTCTTCATACCATGCCTTCTCCTATTTTTCTATCTATTGACTCTTGAAATGACAAAAATAGTTCAATTTTCGAGCCAATAGGCTGTTTACTAATCAATATTTATTGATGTTCAGATCTTTTAGTATATCAATATTTATTTTCTTCTTGTTCAGGGGCATTGCATACATGACAAAGCAAATGTGGTCAAGGCCCTTTGGGAACAAGCAACGGAATCAGTGGAGAAAGAAGATTATTATGGCCTCAAGACAGTGAGGCACCTGGGTGTAACCAGAGGGATATTCCACGACTAACATACAATATACTTACACGACAGTACATTTGTATACTGCTACAAATTTTAACAACTAAAAAAAAAAAAAATACGTGTTGATGTGTTCAGTTATTTACAATCTTTAGTTACAACAGGAAGACAGGAAAACGCGGGTCCAGCACGACAGCGGGAAATTTTGAAGGCAAGAGTAGCAGAGTCGGGCCAGCAGAATATATGCTAGAGGTGGCATAAAAGCATGGAGATCATTTGGGTTCCTACTGATTGAAAGTACCCCAGTGGAAAGCTAACGACAAACACGAATACAACACTGGTCTATACTGTGGTTAATTTCTCAACGTCCGCCCATACTTACCCCCCAACTGTAATCCTTTAGGCTCCAGGTGGATGCTACTTCACCTCATATTATAATAAGATGCGACAAATTTTTCAAGTTACACTTTTGCTCTGAAGCATTAAAAATCACAACATTTGAGATAAAAGAATAAAGAGCAGCAATAAAAAGATTAAGACTAAAAAAAAAGATGTAACCATATGATTGATATAAGATGTAATTATGATCCACTACTACCCCCACCCCCACCCACCCACACCCTCAGCAACACCCACACCCTCAACAACACCCACACCCTCAACAACACCCACACCCTCAACAACACCCACACCCTCAACAACACCCACACCCTCAACAACACCCACACCCCCAACAACACCGACACCCTCAACAACACCCACACACTCAACAACACCCACACCCTCAACAACACCGACACCCTCAACAACACCCACACGCTCAACAACACCCACACCCTCAACAACACCCACACCCTCAACAACACCCACACCCTCAACAACACCCACACCCTCAACAACACCGACACCCTCAACAACACCGACTCCCTCAACAACACCGACACCCTCAACAACACCGACACCCTCAACAACACCCACACCCTCAACAACACCCACATCCTCAACAACACCCACACCCTCAACAACACCCACACCCTCAACAACACCCACACCCTCAACAACACCCACACCCTCAACAACACCCACACCCTCAACAACACCCACACCCTCAACAACACCCACACCCTCAACAACACCCACACCCTCAACAACACCCACACCCTCAACAACACCCACACCCTCAACAACACCCACACCCTCAACAACACCCACACCCTCAGCAACACCCACACCCTCAGCAACACCCACACCCTCCTAGATCACAAGAATTCAGTTCCTGTATTCGACTTTTTTACGGGGATCGTCATCCGGACCAGATTAAAGAACCCAGATATACAAAGATAGACACCATAAACACAGTTAGGGACACCAAGCCATTAACCCTGGCACAAAAAATATAGTCCTGAGTCGCTGAACCTCGCACAAAGGCACATGACCACAATTATAACCAACGCTGATTTCCGCAGGGCTTAGACAGTTTTTATTTTCCTCATCGGCCAAAACCACCCGCCCTAGCAAAGTTAGGTGTATGGTACTGAATTAGTGAAAGTAATGCATTTTTAGCCAGCGTACCTCAACTAATATCGGAGTCTGTACCTAGGGCGTAGCGAACGCGCTTCGTAATGCCAAGGTGCCCGGTTCGATCCCAGCTGCGGACGGTTTGTCTTCCGTTTGTTTCTACAGTGGTACCAAGCGTCGACTGTTCAGAGAATGGCAAACCGGGCTAGCTGCGTTTCTAAACCTACTGAACGTAGAAGAATTATTACTAAACGCCTACGATGCGTCTACCTCAAACAACCTTAAATTTAACTAGAGTCTAGAACTCGTAACTTAGAGGCTAATGGTTTGTTTCGCTAAACACATCGCAATAACTGACACAATAACTGACAGGGAATAGAAATGAAGGGTAGTCACGTGATATTTACCTGCCGTTGTTAACAATAAAAACTTAGAGGAATAACATTTCCCTGTCTGTCTTCACTTAGAGCAGATGAGGTGCCTGATGAAGATGGGGCGCCATTAGACCAGCCACCACGTCAAGACCTTGTGCTAGAATGCTGTTCGGGCTGGCCATTTGTTTTATTTAAAAATAAAATGTACGGGATGCTGACAGGAGAGCGACAGCAATAAGATGTAATTAATTCTCACGGCCGAGCAATTATTATTCTAAGGCGAGTCGGGGTGGCACGATAGACACATACTCGGTTTTGTTTGGGTTTAGCGGTGAAGAATTCTTTATTTAGTGTACATGGACATCTGCACAAGATTATCGTGAAAAAATTTCAAACTAAAAGAAAAGTATAACCAGACAGCTTCGCATTATCACAAATATAAATGGCAATTAAACGTTGCGGCTAGAAGTCTTTCATCAGCACATTACATGCATAGGCAATGCCATAAAAACCAACAAGAAGAAACTCAGATCGCTTGACTAAAATATCTCTGAGAGAAATGCATTTGTCGGTCTTGTTAGTAGTTTCTATGACAGGCGTGTAAATACTGGAAATAATTACACGTCAGAAAAAGATGTCACAGGCAAGAGTCCTATTTCAAAAAATTTAGATAAAACCGTGGTGGACATTAAGTCCCTTGTGTGTGTCAGGGACCTACTTTAATATCTACTTCCTATGACTCTCTAGGTAGGCCAGCTAACAAACCTAGCTACCTTAGGACACACTTAAAACACTCACCTACGGAGTACACAATAAATCTTTAATGTACAAAGAACGATTCAACTTATAGCAAGCATCAACAAAGGTGGCCGTCCTTAATCCGAAACACCGACGTTGGTAGCTTTTACATTCACTTAACCAACCCGAGCCGTTTCCATGGATATACAAAGGATTCGATTCCACCTCACTGTCGTACAGCGCTAACTGAGCTGCCGCCCTCGCCATGCGGGACTCAGTGACACACGTAAGGTGAATGATCTAAGCATTAGTGGGCAGTGTTAACGCCACTAACAAGGCGTGTCAACATTAACTACCTGATTAAAAGATACTGCTTGGAACGTCTACAATACAAGAAACATCAACGCTGCAAATTCTTTTTTAAACACTGTATGGAAACCGACATATTTAAAGCCTAACCGCAAATACTATTCTTACTAATCGTCACTAATCTAAGATACGTTTACCGTCGCAGTCCCACATCTGTCCAGTCCAGTGTCCTACTTCACGTCTCCCTCGAACAAGCTCTGCCCAAACCTTTTGCTCCTCTTAAACCTTCCTCTCTGACACGCTGTAACTGGTGTTTTTAGTGGGGCCTAGGGCTTAGCCCAGCTCAGTCCTAGTGGGGCCTAGGGCTTAGCCCAGCTCAGTCCTAGTGGGGCGTAGGGCTTAGCCCAGCTCAGTCCTAGTGGGGCCTAGGGCTTAGCCCAGCTCAGTCCTAGTGGGGCCTAGGGCTTAGCCCAGCTCAGTCAACACAGTTTATTCCCTGGTCAAACTGCCCGATCTCGCTCTGACTGAGAAGTCAACTTGTTCATATGTAATAATTAACTATCATCACACCTACTCATCCCGTAGCCGAACTGGCCTCTGACAATGCAAGTTTAAGTCCGTTAGATAGATAAGGCGATTCTCCAGAGACCTACGGACTGTGTCATTCTCAGTCACCCACCACACAGGGAGAATATCAGCACAAAGCAAGGACTTAGTTTCACTGACGTAAATTCAGTCGTGTGAATACCAGAGTCATATATGATATAACTGGATTTGTAGCTTTGATACAATTTGGATATTTTGCCTGGCCAGCGGCTGGATCAGCTTGTTATTTCGATTTCCAATTTTCTATGGTATTTGCCAGCTCATCGAGTGTCCGTGTTTTTCGTCCTTGAACAAGAAGTCTAGACATCTGATCTACTAACTTAGGATAAAGGATTCCTATACCATTTTTAATGTGTTTTTCTTACTGTGTACATACAGAGTCTGTCGCGTAGTCGATATACACTTAGTTCTATATTTACGATAGGCCAACTCTACGTCGGGAGTCACCGTGGCGTAGCAGCAAGACGCTCGCTTGCGGACCATAAGGTCGTGGGTTCGCTCTCTGGCGGAGCCATACGTTTTTCAAAAATGACCTTGACTCCCAGGCTGACCCGGCCTTGAGTGGGTACCGGGTACAGTCCCGTGAAGTAATGGCGGCCGGCGTGATGCTGACCACATTACCCATCTTTGTGCCAATTGGTCAATAAGAATATAGGTCGGGTCCTATATGCCGTGTACGCCTAAAGTCGTGGAAAGGGGACCTTTACTTTACTTTACAACTCAAAGTCAGCTTCATGCGATTTGACAGCAAACCGTTTGTGTTGATTACAGCCAGGAATTTGTTATCTACACAGAAAAAAAAGAAAACACGGTGCTGGTACACACTACAGTGTCCAAATTATATGCTGGTACTCATCCCAACATGTCTTTTTTATAAGTACTTAACAAAATGATGGGTCTGTAGCTTCGGCGTTGGGGCCGTACATCGCAAAGCCGGGATGCCGGGTTTGATCCCTTATGCTGACGATTCATCTTGCGTTGGTTCCAACATTGGTACTAAGAGCCTACCGTTCAAGTGCTATGGCAAACTACTGAACGTAAAATGTGCCTAGAAACCACAACAGCCCAAAAATAAATTATAGGGTTGGTTCTGCAGCGTCCTGTGAAGGATACCCAACTTAAATTTTAACCAACACAAACAACGCAGTCGGGAGATACATTAACACAAACATCCACAAACTGCGACAGTCAAACGAAACATTCACATTGACATAAACAAACCAACGCATTTAGGATAAGCATTCACACTGAAACAGCCACACCATCTAACTCAAAACATAACCATACTTTTACCCCCAGAAACGCCCGGCTCTCTAGCGTAGTTGGCTAAACCGGATTGCGCGGAGACCGGGTGACGAACTCCTTGTGGTCCGGGTTCACTCCCGGGGGTAAGCAGAAAAGCCACATTTCTCCCAGATTTACGGTATTTACAATGGCGTCAAGGCCGAGGGGTTGCGATATTTATAATTCCGAGCCTAAGGGTTAACAATTCATGGCTTCTGGATACTAAAACAAACAAACCCCTAGAAAGAAATTGCAAACATTCACCCTGAAACGCCCTCACCAACTATCAAAAGAAAGATTCACGCTGAAACGCTCACTCCATCAACACAAACAGCCACGAGAAATAAGGCTGACCTACCTCGCATAGCCACGAGTAAAGAACTTGAGCTTTAACCCAGTCAGGCGCGAAATGAAGCCAGATTGTATGGCTGATTTATGAGATAATTAGCGAAAGCAAACAGAAATGACAATCAGGCAAATAATCAAGCTGCAATAGTTCGGTCTCTAATAGTGGTTTGGTCCGATCAAGTATGAACGGCCAGGTAGACAGTTTGGCTCTCACTCAGTGATTACCAACTCTTCTGTAACTGTTTTAATCAATAAAACATTAAAATTATTGTGTTAACAGTCAAGCGAAATCTAAATTGAACGATCAAAGAAAATAACCGCGAGCACTTTGCAAAGATGTCATTAGTATAATAAAATTACAACGCCTATTTTTTATTATTATACTTGACCCCTTGCTTCGAGGACTAAATTAAGTATGTCATGGGAAGGGAACGCGGCCGGCATGTTGTTGGCTACATCACCCTCACAGTGCCGATTAGTTTATCAGATGTGTCTAGCATCAAATATCGATGCATCGTTGGTGTAAAATGAGGCATTTACTTTGCCTTTATGTCGAATTATCTATCGTTTGTTTGTGTGCGCTCCAACCACGTTTCTGACTACCCAGTAAAATAAATACGAGCTATGATCATAGAGATCTGAAATAAAACATGATACCCCAGATTTCTAGCAACATATTAGAAACATGTGTAGTCAGAAGATTAAATGTTATTTAATAGCTAGTAATAAAAGTCTTCACATATTCTCGTCATAGTATTGTGGCAAAGACTACCAGAACCTATGATAATGTGTCTATCTGAATTCTTGCTTTCTGTGTTAGATGGATTATTCTAAAACTCTTTTTCAAGTTTGTAAGAAGCCAGTGAGTCAGATGGTTGTATTCCCTAGCAGGGACACTCAAGTTGTGCAGGTGATTTGCAAGGGGCCAGACCAAATGGCAGAAGAGAAAGTAGAAACGTTTCGACCAGTCTTGTCAAAGAATAGTGATAGACCTACCAAGTCGTGGATATCAAAAACTTGGGACTGGAGAATCACGTAACTGTTAAACTCCTTCACTAACCTCCAAGCCACAATGCCGCAC